TAAAGTTGGAACTAAAGGCTGTATTAAAGGAAAAATTCCTGAGATCCAATAATTTTGTCTTTTTATGATTTTTCAGCTGAGTTAACTTTAATTAACAGGTTATTTAATAAAGTCAAAGAGAAAACAGAATTTCAAGATAAAGCCGGCACCGTTTATTTATTTTTTATCTTCACTGATTAAAAAAAACATTTTTTATACATAAAATGTCAAAAAAAAAAAAAAAAGTTTCCACCCTCCGTCCCGTTCTATCCGTCTGCCAGGGCTCAGAATCCAGCCTTAGTGAGCATGCGAGGCCGGGGCATATATGGTCTGGTCTCAGAACTTTTAAGATGATTAAAAACCCCAATTTACAATTAATACAATACAAAATCCTTCATAGAGTACACTATACAGGTCAACGGATGTTCAGGATGGGTTTGCATCATCTAATGTTTGCTCACAGTGTACAGACAATATTCCTGACAATTACATCCACACATTTTGGTTCTGTCCACCTGTTCAGAGGTTTTGGTAACGGATATGTGAAGACTTATCAAAGTGTCTGAGATGTAATATTCCACTCTCTCCGTCAGTTTGCTTACTGGGCCACTTAGATTCAATTCAATTCAATTCAGTTTATTTATATAGCGCCAAATTACAACAAAGTTGTCTCAGGGCACTTTACAGAAACATTCACATACATAAAAGCCAATTAGTAAAGTTCTCTATCTAAGGAATCCAGCAGACAAGTTGAATCTTAGCTTCAATGCAGTCTCCCATCCTGAGCAAGCATAGTGGAGACAGTGGAAAGAAAAAACTCCCTTTTAAAAGGAAGATGATGTCATCTTGGAGACTAAGTCAATTCACATGATTTTTACTGCTTTATGTATAGCAAAAAAAAACTATACTCATGAATTGAAAAAATAAAAATACTCTTAGTATTAAACAGTATAAAGACCTTTTGTTGGATTACATCAGTCTTGAGATAGCCTGTACCTCCACATCAGAACAATCTCTCTGGGCTTCTTTGATTGGCTCCAACCCGTAGTGGAGGTGGGTAAACCCCTCTGATTTCGTCCCGTGGGGCATTGTTGTTGATGTGGGGGAGTATCTGGGTCGCCGCCTCATCCCCCCATTTTAAACGCACTATATAACAACATGCATCAACACCTTATTTGAGTGGGAGGAGTTGGGTCTTCCAGTTTTCCTTAAACCCTTGTTCTCCGTTTGAGATTTGGGGTTGGGGGCAGGGAGGAGGGGTAGGCTGCCTGGTTGGGGTCTGGGCTGTGGGTGGGTGTTGGGCCTTGGGGGTGGGGCCGGTGCTCCGGTTCTCCCTGGGTTGTTTGGATCTTTTGATCAGGGTTCCTGGTTGCGGTGGCCGGCCCTTTGGCTGGGGTGGCTGCCGGGTTCTGGCGGAGGGTCGGCTGTGGTTGTGTGTGTGTGGTCGTTGGTGGTACGTGGAAGCGGTTGAGGGCGAGGCTTCACTTTGACGGGGTGCTGGCTGGTCGGCTTGATGCGACATTCGCGGTGAGGAGTGCTGTGTGTGTGGGGGGTGCATGGGTGGCATGCCGGGCCCTCTCCGGGTCGGTGGTGTGGGGCTGTAGGTAAGCATTGGTGCGCTGGGCCGGCTTTCCTTGGCTGTTGTTCCCTGCTGCTCTGGCCCCAGGCCTGGGGCAGGCTTGCGGTCGCTATCGACGGCCCGATGGAGCATCTGTCGGGCTGTCTCTATGTGCCTGTTTGTCTCAGGTTGGGTTTTGGGTGGTCCCCTCTCTTGGATCAATTTTGCCTCCCCCCCCCATTTGGTGTGTTGTACTCCCCTCCGGTGGTGGGCCCCCCTGCCGCCGGTGCATTGGCAGCTCTCAGCAGCTGGGTCTGGATAGTGGGGTGTGTGCGGGCACGCCCTGGTGGCTGCCTGCCGGGGCCTGGGTGCCTTGGCTCTGCCGGGCCTCTGTTGGGGGGGGTGGTATGACCTCGGGACTCGAGGCTCGGTGTCCATGGCCGGATCTACTCTGGAGGGGCGGGTTGCCGGCGGGGCCTGTGGACTCGTCGCTGCAGCCTCCTGGGGTTTCAGCATTGTGGTGGCTGGGGATCACCCGGGGCTTCCCTTTGCTTCTCTCTCTGGGGGGCGAGGGTGCCCCTGTTGGGGGACTCCCAGAGTTCTGGGCTTGGGGGCCACTGTATGTCTGTGGTTCCGGTCTTCCCTGTGTTACCTTCGTGTCCTGTGGGGACGGGTCTGTGGGTCCCCACATCCACTATTGAACATTTTTATGGAGAAACCTTATTAGTGACATCATGCTCACACAGGTGTTTAGATTCAGGCGTTTATCAGAAACACACTCAGTTGGGTTGTGGTGGCCACTAAATATATCTTGTATTACCATGTACTGTATAAAATACTTTCTAATGCAGTTATAAGTATCATTATATATGTTGTTTGTTGTTGTGGTTTCTCGGTTTTGTCTTGTCTTTTTTTTCTTTCCGCAGGTCTAGAGGCAGACTTCAATGATGTTGATTTGTGTTCTCTTTATTCATTCAACCTTTATTTAGACAGGTAATCCCATTGAGCCTCGAGGACTCATTTACAAGAGAGACCTGATTTCAACAAAGAATGATGACAACAATGGACAACAGCAACAACAATAAACAGTTATAAAAAGTCATACTAGTTTTTTTTTTTTAACAAATAGGATGGCTAAAAGAAAAAGATAACAAAAAACAGCTAGATTCTAAGACGAATGTAAAAAAACTAAAAACAGGAACATGTCTGCATTGGTCCCTGCCAGGAGTCCAACAGATTCTTAAAGCCACTTAAGAGAGTTCAAGGTTGAGAGTTTCAATTGTTTTTGTAAGATATTCCAGGAGACAGGAGTGGAGTAGAAGGATATCCCTCTCACTCTCCTCTATACCTATCTCCTTCTTTACCTTTTAACCCTTCTCTCACTTTTCTGCTGTCATCTTTGTTTTTCATCCCCATGTCCATTACATCTGAAACAAGCCCATAGCAAATTCTAATAAAATTTAATTTTCATATCAAGTGGAGCGTTAAGTCCAGCCATAATGCTCTGCTTGTGAAAGTAAATCTGTTGGGCATCACTTTGACACTCAGACAATAATTCTAAGTGTCACAATGACGGACAGGACAAGGGAAGAAAAATATATAATAAATAATAATAAAAATAATAATAATACATTGTGATTTCCTGATTTTTTTTTTTTTTAAAGATTATGTTTCTCACAATGGACATGTACCTAAGATGAAAATTTCAGACCCCTCCATGATTTCTAAATGGGAGAACTTGCAAAGTCGCAGTGTGTTCAAATACTTGTTTTCCTCACTGTAAGAAGGCCGTGCTTATAGCAGCAGCTACGTGCACTCCACTCATCTTTCGGACGACTGTATGGTCATATTCTCGTTGTAACTCAGTGCAATGATGATAAAGCTTATTCTGATTCTGATTACTGTAATGATGAATAATGTTGAAACAAGTGAATAAATTGATTAATTCGTGTGCAGAGAAAAACAAATTACTTTGTGGATGAATTTGAGGCTAAACCCGGGCAGTTACATGCCACTTTGTATCCCATCAAAATGGGAAGCCCTAATTGGGAGCTTGGGCACCGTTAGCCATTTTTGTATTGTGTGGATTTTGTTGTATTTTCTGTACTTGAATCCTTGTGATCAGGTGTATCGATTGAGCTGTGGGGACCATTAATTTAAAGACCTTGGGCCACCTCACATCAGATGACCACAACATCCAAAGGAGGGTCCCTATTGGAAGAAGAGACCATCAGGCTGGGGGAGGTTGAAGATGGACCAGGAGAGGATGAGGGCCCTTGGAAGGATGAAGAGATCCTGTGATTAGGCTCTACATTAACTGACCACATATTGTTAGCTCAGAATTAACACTATATGCTTAGAAGCTATTTTGCAACCCTTATACTAAAAATGTACCATTACTGACATAGATAATGTTAAAGAATTTCCATGAATGTTACATCACACCCGAAGACTACCGGAGATAGGGTGACCCGAGGCTGGCAGGTCCATGAAATTGCAAATTTGAAGGAGTCTTCAAGCACCTATAGGCTTGCATCCATACACACTTATAGATATGAAAGTAGTTGCTTGCTCAGGTCTCCTGTGGTGTTGAACTTGGGAGTTTAAACGATGTACCATTCTGGCACATCGACAGGGGTAATTGTTAGAAGTTTAACCTTGCTGGAGGCCCGGTTTTGTCTACTTCGACTCATAACCTGGTTCGGACCAGATAAGACCACTCAGCTGTTCACAGCGAGCGATCCCAGGGTCAACTCAACACTAGATAAGGAGTCTTTTTATTTTGCTTGCTTCCAACACTTAAGAGTTGAATATCACCTTATTATCCACCATCAGAAACAGATAAGACTGGTAAGGTCACACATCCCACTGATAGGCTGTGCTCACCTGGATGTGAAGGCGGAGCCAAGGGCCAACATAAGCTGGGGTGTTCTTTTGCATGGGGCTTCCGCTTCCGGGTTGCAACGGGTCAGACAGACGCCTCAGCGCTGAGCCTCTAATTTTTCCTGCCTTACTGACATAAAATGGTTAAAAAAAAAAAAAAGTACCTCTCTTGATTTTATTGAGTTCGTGTGAGTTTCCTCTCCACCTGGGAACGAAAAGAACCGGAAGGGTGCCATGGTCCGACATAAAGCTCTAAAACACATCTAAGAAAAGACAACTGTTAGACGGTAAAATAATGAAGATGTTAAAAAAAAAAGACAACACAGGTATGAGCCAGCACCAGCAGTCAACACCAGGGTGAACACATTCAATAAGCACTAGAAAGAACGAAAGACAGACGACAGAAAGAAAGAAAAACACGCACACACACAATTGTAATGCTGAGTTGGAACAGAGCCCATGAACCATAAACAGTTTAAATTTTGTTCCATCTGATGCCACATGGACAAGTTAAAGAATAAAGAGATTTTCAGGATCTTTTTTGTGTTTTATTAAAAACACTAGAAAACAGATTTGCCAAGTTTCATCAATACTGGTGGAGGCAGATAATCCATCTCACAGAAACAGGGAGGTGCTGGATGACTCCAACACATAATCCAAGTAACACATTTTTACTTTCCAATCATGAATGATGTAACTTAAAAACAGGAACTCTAAAGTGAGTCACTTTAATACATTTCTGAATCACCAAACAAATCAATATCAGATAAACAAACTAAAACGTCTTTAAAACGTAATTAGTGTTTGTCATGAAGTCTATTAGAAAAAGTCTGCTGCCATGGGTCTTCTTTTAGCTTTGTTCCATGGAGTACTGCAGCGGGTCTTCTTGGTGCTGCTGGGGATGGTTGGAGACTTTAGAACCCCAAACTTGGGTTTCTGCTGAGGGTCAAATGGTACTCGAGACGACCCATCTGGACTTAGCAGTAAACTGCGGTCAGTCTTCTTAAACTCTGCATGACAAGAGAAACAAGTCAGTGGGTTTAGTTTTTACTTGTTTCAAAAGTATTTCCTCAACTGAACATTTGTGTTGGATGTATGAAACGAACATATCCCGTTACTGATCATCTGGTTCTGATCCATATCCTGTTACTGATCATCTGGTTCTGATCCATATCCTGTTACCGATCAGCTGGTTCTGATCCATATCCTGTTACTGATCATCTGGTTCTGATCCATATCCTGTTACTGATCAGCTGGTTCTGATCCATCCATCCAACGAACAGGACTGACTCGGTCTACAGTCCCTTAAAATCTTCATACCTCTGACCTTTTTACATTTCGTTACTTTACAACCACAAACTTAATTTTCAACTGGGATTTTTTGACTGACCAACAAAATGCAACTAAGTGGAGGGAAAATGATTACTGGTTTACAAGTAAAAATCTGAAAAGTGTGGCGCATATTTGATTTCACCGTCCTTTCCGCCGATACCCGGAACCAAAGTCTAGCACAACCAACTGCTTTCAGAGGTCACCCATCATTAGAACGGTGAATGAAGTCCACTTGTTTTTTGTTCCTGATGTTTTTCTTAGTTCATATCTTAGATCTTGTTGCTGTTTTTCTTTTACATTTTATTGTTGGATGTAACTGGGACCCTGTGGACATAACCTCGTTCCACCACATGTACCACATGAGATGTGAATGACAAATAAATCTCTCCGACTCTGACGTGCTTAATTTAATCCAAGTTTAAATCCAGCTGTTCTGTGGGCCTCAGAGTTTTGTTTTTTTTGCCAAACAGCATCATGAAGACCAAGGAACAAGGCAGACAGGTCAAGGATAAAGTTGTTGTGGAGTTTAAATGAGAGTTGGGTTATGAAACAACTTCCAAAGCTCTTAAAATTTTACAGAATGACTTAGATCATATGTGTCAAACTCAAGGTCCAGGGGCCAAATGTGGTCCTCGTTGACATCTTATCTGGCCACCAAAAATGTTATTTTAAATGTAAAATACTTGTATCACTTTATTTTTTTTTCAGTAATCGTTGATTATGATGTTAAAAGTGCAACAGAGAACATCAAACGAGACCAATCAAGCTCTTGTTTAGGAACCTGTGACCAAGAAATTGTTGTGGATTATCAGCTTCTTCCTGTTGGTACTGAACCCAGCATCTGTTCATTATGAGCAGCTGCAGCTATTCATCTTCAAAGGGGCACTCCCCTTAGCCCAATTCAAACTCCAGTTGGACCACAACATTGGACCCGTTGGCTCATTTGATCTACGAAGCTGTCTGGTGTGATAAAGAGGCTCATGCTGCCTCTTCCCTCATGCAGAACCATCATGCTGACCCCCCGCCCGAACAAAAACTGCAGGTACAAACAGCATGCAGCTCAGATGTGTTGTCCATCTTTAGTCCATGCATGAGGTAAAATTAGAAAATATGTTTATTTTGTACTTCCCATGACACGGGCCGGGCTGTAAATAACCCAGGGGCCATAAAAACACCCAGGTCTGACCTAAAAGTCAAAGTTTCTTTATTTGTCATTTTCATCACATGTGGTACATGTGATGGAATGAAATTATGTACACAGGGTCCCAGTTACATCCAATAAAAGTTTAAATTGTAAAGAAAAACTGTAATAAGATCTAAGATATGAACTAAGAATACAATAAGCACTAGTAGTACAAAACGTTGAACAGCAGCAGCACGAACATGAGTCTATGTGAGCAGATGAGTATGAATGAATGGATGAATGAATTCCAATGATGACGTCCAACGAGATCTACAATGGAATGGGTTGGATCAAAACATTCATGAATTAGAACTGCCCAGACTGTAAGGGTCCCACTGCCTGCAGCCTGCCTTGCTGATGGCCGCTGAGTACCAACACCTGGCGGCCATCAGCCTGATGAGCCTCTCCATCTACTTAAGGCTGCAGTCCGGTGTGACTCGACGCTGGAGCATATCACCTCTCATGGTATAGTACTGTTGAGCTAGATATGTCTAGGTGAAAAGAATTTGTTCACCTTTTGCTCTTTTTTCCAGTTTCCTGGTTCCTTCGTGTTTTTGGATTCTCCTCGTGGCCTGACCTGGATCCCTCGGCCTGTCAGGTATCCCTCGTGCCTCTTTGCCTCCAGTTGCCAGCCTTCCTCGTTTCCCTTTGGACTCTTGTTGGATTTCCCTCTGCTGCTCTCTCCCTGGACTGAAGGACCAGCTCACCTCCTTCGGGTTTGGACTGTAAGGACAAGACGCTCTTTAAACAAACCACTCTGGTCTTCCCCGTTGGACAAACATTAACCTGTCGTCCCTCTTTCCAGGAGCCGCTGAGAAGCAGCGTTTGTGGACTTTAATATCACTGTACATAATAAACACTGTTCTTTTGTACTTCCCCTGTGTCTGCCTCGTTCTGGGTCTCATAACATCTGGGTTCCCCGCGCTATCGTAACACAGACAAAGTCAAGACCCAGAAACTGTGGCAGGACCTGAAAACAATTCTTTAGGTATGCACAGCTGGTAGAGGCACACCCAGAACACCTGCAGCTGAAGTACAGCAAAAGGAGAAGGCCCAACAAAGTACTGACTGGGTGGGGGGGGGGAAGGGGGAGTGCTGAAGACAAAATACACACCACATCATTACATCCACACACTCCACCCCACATCAATCTACACTAAAAACAGGAACATGTCTACGTTGGCAAAAACCAAGCCAGACATGTTCCAGTTTTTAGTTTTCTACATCACTTTATAATGTAGCTGTTTTTGTTTCATTTTTATATAATTTATTTTATTTACTTTTCATTTTATATATACTTTTTATATGATTGTTTATTGTTATCTGTAGCTCATCTGTGTTTTTTAAATCAGGTCTCTCTTGTAGATGAGTCCTCGAGGTTCAATGAGACTAACCTGTAGAAATAAAGGTTGAATGAAAAAATGTTCAGAATCAGAATAAACTTTATTATCAGTGCACCGAGATACAACGAGAACATGTACGTAGTCGTCTGAAAGATGGACAGAGTGCACGAAGCTGCTACAATAGAAAGTGCAGCCTCTTATTCTTATTCAGAATAATATTGTGCTTAGATGAGAAAAGGGAAGAAGAGGAGAGACGGTATAAAAAAACAATCTCACTCCGTGTCCTAGACAGGGCACAATTTGAGGCATCAAACAATCCTCCCACAGCAAAGCAACATAAACAGACATTATACATGAACATATAGGCCGGGGAAGACATTAAGGGAAAGGCCTAGCATAGTCCAGAGCCCCCCCCTCTCAGCCATTGTCCAGGTAAGAGGTGACATTCATCATCAACTTGGTTGAGGTTCTGTTACATGTCCACGGCCTTGGGGAAGGGAGGGGTGAGGAGACAGACAAAGCATCTTTGTTTTTTTTCTAAACATTCCAGGAGGAGTTGAGATAAGTCCGGCATCAAGGCCACAGTTTGGGTCAGGCAGAACTCGTAATTGTTGTTTCTTCCTTTTTAAAACTGATTTAGAAAAATAAAGAAAATGCTTAATTTTCCTTCCACCTGTTCATTAGGTTGTACTTTGTATTGGTCTAACATCCCAGTAAAATATTTTAAAAGTTTGTAATGAGGTGGAAACTCTTCTACAAACATCTCCAGAGAAAAACCAGAATCTTTCAGATCATGACTTTTAAAAACAACACAGTAACTAAGTCTAACTAAAAACATTGACTTTATCTGAATCACGAGCTGTACTACAAAAAACTGTCAAAATAATCTAAAATAAATCTAGATGAGCCAAAAACCAGAACAGAACCTTTTTTATTTTTTTTGCTTTTATCACATGCTGCTGAATTATTGTGTTTTTATCGTGCTCTATTAATCCCCGATGAGGAGGCAGACATTTAAAGCTTCACAGTCTTTAATTTACATGAATATCTTACCAGCCGTTTTATTATTCTTGAGTCCAAAAGTCACATTTTTCGATTCCGACATTGGAATTGGAGTAAGCCTTTTCTGTATACAACAAACAAAACCACATATCAAAAATGAGTGCAAATACATCAAATGATGAAGAAAAATATAGAATTTTAAGTATAAAAGTTGTTGTAGGATCTGCTTCATCAGATTTAATTCAGTTTATTTATAAAGCACTAAGTCACAACAGAAGTCGTCTCAGGGCACTGAACAGAAATATTCATATATAAAATAAGTTAACAGAAACATTTATATTTAAAAAATATAATTAACATTATTTATCTTAGGAGCAGACTACTTTGAGTTTAACTCATTGCAGAACTCTCACTCAGTGATCTAGAGTTCATTAAAAGTTAATTAGCAGGATTTTGGATTCTGGACACGCCTCCAGAACCGGTTCTGAAGTGTGGTGCAAATCCAGGCTGATCTGAATAGGGCTGAGCAGAGTTGGGGCTGAATAGGAGCAGTGCAGAAGTGGCATATGTGTCCTCCAATGCTCACCTCTCATGTGGGGTCCCCCAGGGCTCGGTCCTGGGCACACTACTATTTTCTCTTTACTTGCTTCCACTTGGTTCCATACTTAGGAAGCATGGTATTTCCTTCCACTGTTATGCTGATGACAGTGAGATTTATGTCCCTTTTAAAGAAACAGATCTGCACTCTGTCAATCCATTCCTCAGCTGTCTTGACGACATAAAAGCCTGGATGGCTCTAAACTTTTAAAATTTTAATGAGAAAAAAAACTGAAGTGATGCTTTTTGGTGGTACCACTGGCCCCCCTCCTGTAGATCTGGGATTTTTGGCTGAGTTCATGAAGCCCACCGTTTCAAATCTTGGGGTGAAAATGGATTTGGATCTTGCGCTCGATAGCCAGATAAGTTCAGTTGTTAAATCAAACTTTTTCCAGTTACGGCAGCTAGCTAAAATAAAACCCATCCTTTCACGTCGGCACTTTGAAACAGTAATTCATGCCTTTGTGACCACCAGGCTGGATTACTGTAATGCTGTTTATGTGGGGGTTAGTGGCTCCGCCATTGCCTGTCTTCAGATGGTGCAAAATGCTGCTGCACGTCTTTTAACTGGCACATGGAAACAAGAGCACATTTCCCCCATTTTAGCCTCACTTCACTGGTTGCCCATACATTTTAGGATCAGTTTTAAGATTATTTTATTTACTTTTAAATCTCTCAGTGGTCTTGCCCCACCCTACCTCTTAAAGCTGCTACAGCCTTATACCCCACCTGGTGCTCTCAGGTCAGCTGATCAGCTGCTCCTGAGTGAGGTGAACGTGCCTTCGCCGTAGCAGCTGCTAAACTAAGGAACGGTCTTCCTGTCCACATCAGACAGGCCTCCTCGCTGTCTGTTTTTAAATCCCATCTTAAAACTTATCTTTTTTCCAAGGCTTTTCACACCATGTGAGATGTTGATTTATTATTGTTATTTATGCGATACTCCTTTTACTGTTTCAGTTTTATTGCATAGCTGTTTGTCTTTTTAAGTATTATTATTATTACTTCTTGTATTTTTAATTAATTATTATTATTATTACTTCTTGTATTTTATTCCTTTTTGTGCTTTTTAAGTCGTCTTTACAGCACTTTGGTCCTGTATGTTTTTTTTTAAAGTGCTTTATGAATAAAGTTCACTTCACCACTTGCTCTCGCTGAGATCGGATGCTTCTCCTCTCCCTCTCTGCTTTGCTGCTCTGTCTGTCTGCGAAACTGCTTCTGAGTCTCTCTTGCATCTTCCGAACCATAATTATGGACTTGTTTTGATCAGTTGGTTCCTCAACTCAATTTACAACATTTCTTCGAAGAGAAGACAGGCTTTAGGCGAGCCCATTTGTACTGTTGGCACGCACGCAGCTGGATATCTCCTCATCAACTGGAAGACTTGATGATGTGTCTATCTTTGCTACCATCTGTGGTTTTTAAGGACGCATATTAAATTGGATTTATGATAACTGGTTCTGGCTATTTTGGATTCAGCTGGTTGCTGGTTTTATCTACAATCAAGGAAGTCGTCTGCAGCAAATTTGGACCCGATCACACTGCTTGCCTTTATGATGGCTTGGTTTGTGCCTCGAGTACCCAGACTCAAATGATTTGGGCTGAATGGATCAGATCTTGGGGATTTTACTCAGTCACGTTCCATCGATGTGGCCATGTTATTTGGACATTTCGGAACCGAGTCGACCAACACAGACTCAAGGTAGATACCATACCATACCACTTTATTTATAAAGCACTTAAAACAGCAACCAGGCCAACCAAAGTGCTGTACAGACAGAACAACAGGTAACACACAAAGCAAAATACAAAATGAGGTAAATCAGAATATAGACAAAAAACGATGCAGATAATGACGACAAACCAGTGTGGAGCATACAGGATCAAAACACAGATCATCTTGTGTTGAAAGCTATTGAAGAGTAGTGAGTTTTTAAACGGGACTTGAAAACCGAGAGGGAGGGGGCCTGTCTGACAAGCAGAGGTAACTTGTTCCAGAGTCTTGGTCCTGCTACAGAGAAGGCCCTGTCACCTCTGCGCTTAAGATGAGTTCCTGGAACTGTGAGGAGCAACTGGTCCGCTGACCTCAGGGAACGTGGTGGGACATATGGTTGTAGTAAATCAGAGAGATGGGGGGGAGGGGGGGGGGTGCGACACTGTTCAGTGATTTGTAGACATACATGAGTATTTGGAACTGGATTCGAAAGTGAACCGGTAACCAGTGCAGTGAGGCCAAAACTGGTGTGACTGGTTAAAAATCGGGCTGCTGCATTATGGACCAGTTGTAGTCGTGCAATGGAGGTCTGACTGATACCAAACAGGAGCGAATTGCAGTAATCAAGCCTAGATGTAATGAATGCATGTATTACAGTTTCTCCTATTACTGAACAATAGGAGAAACTGGAGACCCCATAGCACACCCATGTTTCTGCCTATAATATTGCTCCCCATATGTGAAGTGGGTTGACTGCAGGCACAGTTTCAAGAGTTGACACAGTGGTTCTGTGGAAAGTGTGGTCCTGCTGCTCAGAGTGGTGTCTGATTTTAATCTTAAACTGACCACCTCTACTGCATCATCAACAGGAATGCACGTAAAGAGTGATGTGACATCAAAAGAGACCATTGTTTCATCAGTCTCCATGATGACATCCCTCACCTTGTCCACAAAGTCCATGGTGTTCTGTATGTGGTGTTCTGAGCTGCCAACTAAAGGGATGAGTACAGACGCCAGGCCAGGCCAGAGGTCACTCTTTCAGGGATGAAGATGTTCAGAGAGGAACGATGGTTTGAGAGAGGAGTAAAGGAGGCCATCTTTGTGAAAAGAAATCGTCCATCATTAAACAGGGGTGGAGCCTCCGTGTTCAACTGTCCCCCTCTTACAATGCTGTGATTGCTGGTATCACTCAGCCCTCTGTGAGTAGTAAACAGCCATCAGGTGCTAATGACCCATTGTTAGGCTGATGGCCCTTCTTGAGCATGTGATCAGCTGGTTCTGGTTGTCAGCAGCAAAACTGGTTGATCCACTCTGAGAAGGTGCTATTTAAGAGACTGAGCTGAAAACAGCACCTCAGACTGAGGAAGTCTTGGATGAGAGACGAAACGTTTCTACAATTTTTTTGTTTTGCCTTTTGTTTTTTTGAATGTCGAGAGGACCAGATTTAACTTTTTTAGACATCCGATAGACCGTGTATAAAAATTAATTTTGGCTTTAATAGATTTCTTGTTTGCATTTTCCAGGGAAACAGTAAGGCTCTCACTTTTGGTCAGCAGAAGTTTAATCTTAACCTTTCAACTTCAACTTTCAGTCTTCAGCTCATCTTCAGTCAGGCCAAGAGTGTGAACCAAAAGCCAGCATCCAGCTGCAGGATCTGCACATCTGTGCCTCGTAACAAAAAAGCACCTGTCTTCAGTGGCTGCTCATCTGAAGGTATTTATCAGCAAAACTGTGTTCAGTTCCTGATGTCACCTCGTCTGGATTTTCTTATAATTCAGAAAACAAGTCAGAACGACAACATTGTGTCTACTTTTATTGTTCAATTTAGACCAGATTGAACTTTTTTAGATATTAATATATATTTAATATTCAATTTATTGAAAGAACATTACCCGACTAACAAGAAACTTAGAAGATTTCATAAGGAACTCCAGGAAGAATAGAATAGAAACAGCCTTTATTGTCCAATGGATGGGAAATTCAAGTGTAACAGCAGCAACAGATAAAAAGATAAAAAGATTTCACACAAAAGTTCCTAAATATTCCTAAAGAAGTCCTTTATGATAATCAAAGCTCTGTACGTATCTAGAAGGGAACAGACGTTGAACCAATATAGTTGTCATTATTTCTAATAAATTCAGCTGCTTCCTAAAACTGACCAACTAAAAGATTACTCACCCTGCCTCGTTTGGCTTTTGGACGTGAGCTGCTCGGTGTTGCCATTCCCTCCAGCTCGTCTGCTTCAAACTCAAACTCTACAGGGATCTTCCTCTTCTTCGCTGGTTTCCCAGCATCAGAGTCCTGTGATGGACATTCTGTGGCGTCCACCTGACCAGCTGTCGTTTTCTTCTTCTTCTTTGTTGGTGTTTGTGGTCCTGTTGGACCATCCACCAGACTTTGCTTTTCCTCTTCCTCTGCAGATCCTTTACGACTTTTTTTCTTCTTAGGTGGTGTTGGAGCAGGATTATCTGCATCAGCCAACTCGTTTTGCATCTGAGCGCTCTCCTCCTCTGGGATAAGCTTCACTTTTTGTTTGCTCTTCTTTCTTCTCCGCCCTGCGGTGTTGTGCTCAGATGTTTTATCCTGGGCACTTCCTGCTTTTAGTTTGCCAGTATCAGCTCTAACCTTCTCGGCTTTATGACCCTTCTTTATGTGTGTTGCACCTTGAGACGTTTCCTGAAGCCCAGAGTTTGGATCTTCAGCTGAACCTTTTGAACTGAACTCTGTTGATGAACTCATATTATTCACTGAGACAAGCTTCACTTTAGCTTTTTGACTCTTCTTTTTGTTCTTGGCTGGATTTTTATCACTGACCTCAGGTGATGCTGGAGTCTCATGTGTGACTTGTGGGATCTGTGAGTCACTCTCAGCTTTCAGGTCTTTCTTCTTCTTCTTCTTTGTCATTTGTACTGAAGCTTCCGAGGACGTCTCAGCTGAAGTGGAGGTGTGCTGCTCTTCTTCCAACCCTGCGACACCTGCTGAAAAATCATTCTTTCGTCTTTGTTTCTTCTTCTTAGACCGATTCCTACGCCTGGAGAGTGGAGACTCTGATTGGCGTCCTCCTCCAGTGACTTCAGGCTCCAGGAACTGAGCTCCTGTTGGACATCCAGAGGATTCTGAGGAGTTCTGCAGCTGAATAGGTTCTGGTAAAACTTCTGAAAAAGTATCCTTATTATTACTTTCAGGCTGCTCTGAGCTCTGCCTGTTCCCATCTTTCGTCTTCTTCTTTTCATTACGAACTGATCCATCTACAAAATCAGTGTTCTGGTTCTGCTTGCTGAGCTCCTCTTTTTTCCTTCCTGAAGACGCAGAAACAGGTGATTAGTTTTAAAACAATCACTGATTCTCAGGAGCCACAAACTCAACTGACACCCCCCCCCCCCCCACACCAGTCTGATAAAACCTTCAAATACAGACTAAATGGACTGTACTTATATAGGGCCCTTCTCTCTTATCGAGATACTCAAAGCTCATACAGCTCTATACTAGATCTCTACAAAGATAATGGAACAAATCATTCTAAAGAGACAAATCAGAGCTTTTATCACATTCATACACTGATGGGACACACATCAGAGGCATCGAGGGATTCGGTGTCTTGCCCAGGGACACTTCGGCATGTGACAGCTGTTGGATTCAAACCCCCAACTCTTGCATTGAAGGACGACTGCTATTACCACTCAGCCACAGCCGTAATTGTCAGTGTACAAGCCACTACTTTTTGCTCACACTTTGTACCCCGCGGTTTATATGCAGGAGCACCTTATTTATGTTTTTTTTTTCTCTCACAATTTTCAAGTTATATTTTTTATATTTTATTTTGACAGACTTCCTGCCGTCTCTAGGTAACTTCCTGCCGATGACTAACATTGTCCTGTGACAGAGCTGGGCACTCATGGCTCCCAGCACCCAGCCCCTCTTGGGGGCAGGTGCTTGTGTGACACAGAGTGAATCACATGTACAACGACTCTTGCTCAGGGTTTCAATTCCACACCATAACTTCACCCACTCTGTCATCATGTGACCAGAAGTCTAACCTGAATAACCAATGAGGTACTCTCGAGGATCATCCCCCAAGACAGATGTGCATTAATTTCTTCACATCGATCGCGTGTCGTTCCTGTATTTTGCGCTTCATGCACAGACCTGTTCATTTGTTCAGCAATAATGCAAAACTATCGGAGATTTTCTTATGATGCAGCTTTCAAGTTAAAAGCAACTGATCTGGCTGTCGAAGAAAGAAATCGATCTGCCGCTTGTAAGTTTTGCATCAACGTGTTGATGGTTGGGCATTGGAGATGCAAAACAGTCAAGTCTAGTACTACTTCTTCTTCTTCTTTTGGCTTTTCCCTCATCAGGGGTTGCTACAGCGAGTCCTCCTCCACCTCATTGTCCTCTGCATCCTCTGTCTTCACTCCAACTACCTTCATGTCCTCTCTAACTGCATCCATATGTCTCCTCTTTGTCTTTTTCCTGCAGCTGCATTTCTAACATCCTTCTACAAATATACCCACTGTCCCTCCTCTGGACATGTCCAAACCACTGTCCC